AAGGGCTAAGTCAACAAAGGGGCAAAAAGAAAAAGAAAGTTAGAGAGAAAATTGAGAGGAAACAGAAAAGAGTCGCCGTGAAGTTCATCGGACCACCGTCGGAATCCACCTCGAGACTTGTACAAGGACTGAGAGGCTAGCGAGGTCAACGCAACGTCAAGATCCAAGAACGATTCGTGAGGTAAGGTTCTGAATGACATTCTTGGATCTAAGATTTTCTTATGTGAATCGAGTCCTAAAATGTTGACTTATTCACCTAGGAACAACTCTACGCCCGATCTGCGAAGAAGTTTGGCCAAAATCTCAACCCGAAGGCAGAGATCTGAGAATCGTTCGAGAATAGTAAGCAAAATTCCGACGCTCTTAACTCGTCCAGTAATTAAGAAAAAATTACAAAAAAAATATCAGGACGTATCCCGTAACACGATCTAGAACCTTGCCGAAGAAATCATATCAATCTGAACTACGAATCAAAAGATAAGAAAATCGGAAATGGGACTTTGTGTTACGGATTGCAGAGGACAGAGAGAGAAAAAAAACCGGCTGGCGAGCGGCGGAGGGCGACGCAACATGCGTCGGACACGCATCGACTGTCGGCTGGAGCAACGCAACTCCAGTGAGATGACGACACATGTCACCTGCAAAGCCCGAGCTGAACCGCAAACTTGAGCAGAGCCGAGCCGAACAGGACCAGCCGACCCGCGACTGCGCAAAAGCTGCCACGCGTGCGGCCTGCAACTAGCGCACTTTCGCATGCGTGGTCGGTGTCACGATCATGCTCGTCCAAGGCGTGTTGCCCATGGTCGCATGCCCATGACAAGCCCAACCCTTTATGTCTTTTCATATTCTAGTCTTTTACTTTTGTATTTATAGGAAGTATGATGTTTCAGAAATATCATGTCTAGCCCTGTCAGACATGAAATGCCTCAAAATGTATTATAAGAGGATTCAACTAGTTGTCAACTTCTCCCTAACCAAGGTTATATACTGTGAGCCGTTGTTATTTCTCTCTTGCTTGCTTATATAACGTCTCTTTCAAAAATCTCTCTCTACCCTCGTTTTCTAAAACCTTGTCTTAAAACCGAGGCCAGAGACTCGAGCATACGTAGCTTGGCCGTAGGCAACGTAAGAACGAATTGGCTTAGCTCACTTGTCATTGGAAAGTGAGTGCCGCACAAAAGTGCCATTGTGACAGTCGGCGCACTGCCAGCACGTGAGCGCGTGTGAAACGGCCTTTGGCCTGTTTGCCCGATTGTTGTCCTGATTCCAATTCTAATACTGTTTTTATGTGAATAGGGACCTAATTTAAGGAAATCAGTATTTTTGGATACTTCACGGGCATAGAAACGCTAGCAAAAATGCACATGTCAACCACCACCCGGTATTTAGGAAGAAATACTTGTAGGATTAGCTTGGATTGCATGCATGCTAGTACCTTTACCTTAGATTAGCTATCCATGAATGAGATTAGTCAGATGGATTGTTATGAGTGTATTTGGGTGAATTATCTGAGTGTTGCTTGTATGCTTTAAGCTTCCGCTGTATGTATGCATGTGTTTAATTTATGTTGGAATTGTGTATTCTGCGTTTCGGGTGCTTGATGGATGAGTTCGTCCCATTGAGCGCGAGCTTCGTGTTCTGGGTGCTTGATGGAGGCCATCGCCCCGTTGAGCCAACGTGCCTAGTTTGCATGAATTATATATTATGATGTTAGAAGACGGTTGCATGCACACTGTTATTTTCTAGGACCCATTTCTATGATAAGCCTAGGAAATTGTTGTTAAGAGTGATAAGTCTCTCTAGCTAGACTTAACCTTCCCCTAGGAACTTAGCGAATTACCACGGCAACAAGGTATCTCAAGAGTGCTCATAGATTGCTAGGGTGACAATGGTATCTATAGCTTCGTGGGAGGACCAAGGGTTTCTGACCAGTCCTTACTACTCTTAGCCATTTCGCATGGGAAGTGTGTCCCCACGTCGTACAACCCATTAGTTGCATGGGAACGGGTTGGGTCGCGCCCCCCATAAGGGGGCTATATGGGCTTAGGGGTATTCAGCACACCCATAGGCTAGATACCATGTAGTCCCAAAGAGCCATGTAGAGGTAGCGCCTCATAGAGATACCGACCATATCTGCTTGGCGTAAAGAACCTCTAGGTGTCTAATGAAAGGACGATGAACCGGTGAAACCTAACGGGCGAGAGCCAAGGGACTAAGATTAGAACCAGATGTCCTAGAACCGAATTAGGAGACCGTGAGAACCTGTTAAATTAGGATGCGAAGAGAGCCTACAAGTAGGTGGCTTATTAAGTATAATTTTTATACTCATCCTTCCTATGTTTTCCTTTTTCAAGAGAGCGAGGCGTCGGTCAAGGACGGGAGTGATGGAGAGGGGGATTGTCACAGAGGAATGGGTTGTCCCGGGGCGTCAGTCCAATCGTTATTTTGTATTTGCATTATTTCGAAATTTATTTCCAAAATGTTAAGTGTGCTCTTTGTTTATTGTTGAAAAACTTTATTGGAATTAAAGGATTTTCTTTATTTCATATTTAAATCACTTTGTGCATTCGTGTATTGACTTGAGTCACAATCCGTAGTAAAATATTGGGTCGTGACACAGGAGTTGCAGTCAGTGTTGACGTAGGCGTGCCCGGTGCAGCTGTTGGCATTAGTGATAGTGCCCGATGCTGCACTCCTCTATCTCCCGGTTCGGTGACGAGGTACTCCACCGTGAATTGATTTGGGTTTTGATCCACCTCGGTCACGTCGTTCCACCGCCAGGTGTTCTCGTTGAAGACAACGTCGCACGACACGTGAGCTCGACCCCCCGCAAGATCATAGAGCCTGTACGCCTTGGTCCCGGGTTCGTAGCCGATGAAGATGACCTTTAGCCCCCTAGGATAGAGCTTGGCGAGGTGGGGTTGCGTGAGCTTGACCCCCCGCAGGATCATAGAGCCTGTACGCCTTGGTCTCGGGTTCGTAGCCAATGAAGATGACCTTTAGCCCCCTGGGATGGAGCTTGGCGATGTGGGGATGCGTGACCTTTATGTATGCGACGCAGCTGAACACTCGTAGATGATGTACTGCTAACTTCTTATTGTACTAGGCCTCGTGTGGCGTCTTCCCGTGAGGCTACGCATTGGCAACCGATTGAGGAGGTACACTGCCGTCATGACCATCTCTCCCCAAAACCTCCAGAACATCCCTGTTGTCATCAGTAATGACCTTGTTGTCCCGACAATGGTTTGATTTTAGCGCTCCACCACCCTATTTTGCTAGGGGGAGTAGGGCGTCGTTAGGTGTTGCTACATGCCGAGTTCGTCGCAATACTTACTAAAACTCGCCGAGGTGAACTCTTCGCCTAGGTCCGTGCACAGCACTCTTATCTTCTTCCTACATTCGACCTCCGCACGCGCTTGAATGTGCTTGATTGCGTCTGTCGCCTCACTCTTCCGTGCAGTAGGACCAGCCACATGAAGCGGCTCTTGCCATCGACCAGCAGGAGGAAGAGGGTCTTGCCGCCTGGGGTCGCCAGCTTGCTGGGCTCGCATATATCGTCGTGCACGAGCTCCAACAGCTCACCAATGCAGTAGGATGCCTTAGACGAAAAGGGGGTGCGCCTCTGCTTGCCAAAGAGACACCCATCACACAGCCTGTTCACGCCTTCAATTGCCGGCAAATCATACACCATCTCCTCCTTGTGTAGTTTTTGTAGAGCAAGAAAGCTAAGGTGCCCATACCTTGCGTGCCACCTCCAAGCTACTTCTTCAGTCCTGGCCGAGAGGCTGACCGGCTGCTCTATCTTCAACTCCAGGATGTAGAGTTGGTTTGTTGTTTGCCGAACTTGCGTGAGTAGCCATCGTCGATCATCGCGGAACTTGAGTAGCCCTCGCTCAATGGAAACATGGCAACCGGCCTCATCGAGTTGACCCAGGCTCACAAGGTTAGCCTTGAGCCTCAAGATGAAGTAGACGTTGGTCAGCTTGCGATGCTCACCTCCCTTGCCGACGAATAGGATGGTGCCACACCCTTCGATCTCGATGACGGAGCTATCGCCAAACTTCACTATCCTGCGAATCCCCGAGTTAAGCTCGGAGAATGCAGACCTGACCCCAGTCATATGGTTTGTTGCCCCCGTGTCAAGGACCCATCGTTGGTGCTCGTGCTACTCGCCCTTCTCGTTGATCTGAGCGAACACACGCTCCTCCTTCAGCTGAATTGGCTCCCTAGCCGGTGCCTTTGTCATGCCCAACTGAAGCTCTTCCTCGGATAAGACCGTCGATTACTGTGGATTTGGAACCAGAATTGGGGACGTCGGATAAGACCGATGTGCTCACCATGAAAAGAGTCGGCTCTTCCTCTTAGGATTGAGCCACATGGGCCTTCTTCTTGTTCCTAAGCTTGCTCCAACAATTCTTGCTCAGGTGGCCTTTCTTCCCGCTTGACATTGTGCAACCTTTCGGTCACCTCTTCCACCGTTAGGTCGTTCATGTCAAGTAATGTCTCAATCGAAATCGAGACTTGCTCAAGGTGGTCTAAGGCGACCTGCAGCATCTTCTTCACGATTTCTATCTCGCTAATTCTCCCATCGAGAGTGGTGATACTATTGGCGAGCCCCGTGATCCGCATTGAAAAATCATCGATAGCTCCTTCCGAGGAACGGTCTCAAGTTAGATCGTCGTTTGAAATAACTGGAATTTTGAGTACAATATATCATCGAGAGTGGTGATATTATTGGCGAGCCCCGTGATCCGCATTAAAAAATCATCGATAGCTCCTTCCGAGGAACAGCCTCAAGTTAGATAGTCATTTGAAATAACTCGAATTCTGGGTACAATATATCCGCGATTGTGGAAGATGTTTCATGACGATCAAGTTCATATATTAAAGTTATCTTTAAAATCTTCATAGACTTTGATGGATGTGTATGTTTCTTTGTGTTCTCCATATGTTGTCAAGGCTATTTCTTTACCATCATTATTTCAATCGATTTCTCTAAATTCATGATTAAAAGTTTATTTATTTATTTATTTTGTGAAGCAGAGCTTTTGTGCTCATGGCACTAAGTTTTTGGTCACAAAGCTTGAAGCCTTGTGTTAGGCAGAAGAGACATACGTGGTATGAACAAGACAAGATTAATACAATGCTTCATGCTAATCATCAGCGCCTGTGTCGGTTTAGCACCACATCTTGGCAAACATTACGGCCACTACGATGGCTAGCAAGGCTACAGCAACAACGACCAGTCGGTATGTATTATTGGTATCAGGGTCGCGTCCACTTTGAAGTACGATATGTCCACTTTGAAGTTTATCAGTCCTCACATGCCTTCTTTTAGTGTAGCGTCGGTTAAAGTGGTTGTTTGGTGTCATCTCATCCAAGTTTTTATCCTTCACCTCCGAGTTCATCCACTGCTTATACTCATCAAATTCACTCTCAGATGATCGCTTATTTACTTCACCACGATTGCCATTCGAAGGTTGAAAATCCGTTAAAACTGGTTCTGGTTCTGGTTCGGATCGCAATGGGGACCTGCATATCGTTGAGGTCGCATCGTCATCTAAGCTTCCTTCCGGATCGAATATCCACTTCAAAATCTGAGTGAAATTTTCATCTTCAGAAGCTCCAGCTCCAGGCTGTATCTGCTGCTGTGTATTGACTTCAACTCCATCATCATAGGCATCGATAGGTTGTTGGGTACAACTCCCTAGGGGCTCACACTCCGATAATTGTTCGTCTCTGTTCATCTGTGTTAAAAAAAATTATAAACAAACTAGAATTAAGAAGGCCTCTCTCAAGCTCTGCATACAAGTTGATATTCAAAATGTTCATATCCGACACTCTTACCTCCCGGATTTCTCCTCCCTGTGTGACTTTCTTAGTCCTGTGAGAAGCAACGGTACTGCTCTGCCCATCTTCTGCATTTTCCTTCAATCGAAAAACGAGGAATGGGTGCTACATGGGCAGCAGAACAGGAAGCACAATGTCATAACAAAAAGGTCAATTGTGAAAAATATATGAAACTCACACATACTCATCATATAGGGAATAAAAGAAGCGTGGGAAATGAGACCTGGGAAGGGATTTTAGTGTCTGGGTGAGGCTTATACTCGTGTATCACCCAATTGGTCTTTATAGCATTGCCTCCCTTGCCTCGATGGAACACAAAAATTTGTCTACTTGCGATCACTTCATTGGTTCCTCGAGCCTTGATTGGGCGGGGTTTACCGGTGGATTTCCAGTAGCCAGTAGTGGTGGTTCTTTTAGTGTCGGAGGTGTTGGCCCGGAAGAAAAACCACTCAAAATTATCAGACGGGAAAAACGATTTGTCTGCACAGGGACAGGGGAAGGAAAGAATCAGAGGTGTGCTTCATCTTCAAAAGCTAAAATCAGGAATTTGATAAATGCATACCTGGGAGTTGCTCGGGCTCGAACTTGTACAGATCAATCTCCTTGATAAAACTAACAACAGACTCGTTGCCAACATTCTTGTTCTTCAGGTAGTAGGTGATGAGCTCCTCCTCCGTGGGACGGAAACCAAAACCAGTCGGGAATGGGGAAGCAAACGGAAATTCAGCAGTAGCGGCCATGAATTTGGTAGCAAGTGCGTCTGTGGTGTTGGTGGTGGTGGATGTTTATAACTATAACAACGGAGCAGGAGCAAGGACGACTTGCGTTGACTGGGGGGGAGTGACATAATTTGAGTTGCTCGGGAGTCACAATAGCCTTTTTCTTGCTTTAGATCGCATTGATCTAGGTAACATATGCTCAAGTCTCTGACCCTAAATTAAAAAAAAGACTTTTAAAAATGGAACAGAGAGATTAAAAATAAGAGGCGACATGTATTCATATGTGATTGAAGCGGATAAGCAGCCTACAACTATTGCTCGTCTCAGCAAAAATACAAAACAAGGAATAGTTAACGAGTGTCTGCACAAGACGCCAACGACTTAGAGTCCACCATTTGAATCATGAAATGATTGTATTATTATTTTAGCCAACGACTTAGAGTCCACCACTTGAATCATGAAATGATTGTATTATTATTTTAATTGTAGCTTTTTTGGCGATCCAAATAATGGTTTGTTGTTTTTTTCTTGGAAATAAATTGCAAACTAATTTTAAACCTAATCCACTTACAAATTCAATATTCAAAAATAATTTTGTATAAAACAAAATTATGTATCAGTATATATTTAAATAAATTATATCAGTATATATTTAAACAAAATTATGTATCATTATATATCAAAAATAATTTTTTACTTAAATCTTATTTAAATAAATTATATCAGTATATATTTAACCAATGTTTTTATTCAAAATTTAAATACAAATTCTTATTCTAATATTTAATTTTTTTTTTTTTAATTATAAATAATTTTATCAAAATATGTCTCGTAGAGACATATGAGTGGAGTATCGTATATAGTAATTTTGTATAAAACAAAATTATGAAATGTTTTGTATCTCATAATAAATCTATTAATTAGAAGATAAATATTTCACAAATTGAGCGTATGCAATTCAATCTTTATTCTGAGTAAGTTCTCCTCCTTTGTGCTCTCGTGTAGCTATTTGACTTAGTTTATCACCTCTTTGCCTTAATTTATATTTCTTAGTCTTCTTTTTCATTCTATTGTCAACAACGGCTGAATAGGGTTCTTATTCCTCGTTTTCTCTGTTTTTTACCGGAATAGAACCCCCTGCTGTTGTATTTTCCGTTCTTTTCGTCTTTGATGCCTCTCTCATTGAGTATTCAGCTATCCATGTGCATGATGATTTGGATTATAATTTCTCTGTCGTCCCTAAAAAATTTGCTATAGCATCATGATTCAGCACAAATATTCTAAAATTATATTAAATGACTCAATTAAATGTACAATTAGGTTCGCTTTAGGTAAATTGATCCCCTTTTCATGTTAAACCACAATATATGACTATTTAAGACCATTACATTCGCTGAGTAACCTACTAGCAGACATTAGGTTCCATAGTCTAATGGTCTCTATTAAAATAATATATAGTCATTTATCATGTATAGCATTGAGAAACCTATAAGTAAACACCAAATTTTATAGCTTAACAATCTCTATTAAAACAACATATAGTCATTTATCATGTATAGCGGTTGAATAACCTACAAGTAAACATCATAGTCTAACCGTCTCTACAAGAACAATCTATGTGGTTAGACTGAAATCTTACATTAAAGTAATTATACTCAAAGTTGTTATTTTTGGATTACTCATAACTCATCATAATCAAATTTGCAAGTTCAAACGATTACAAGCACAAATTAATAAGGACTCGAGCCTTTTCGCACCTTTCGTATGAACAAGCAGGGGCTAATTTCAGACTTATTGAACATGAATTAAGAACTGAGTTGGAGAAGATTGAGTTAGTAAGTCTTATAAATCTCGCAGAGCGACTCTCAACAAGGACGTTGAGACGTGGGCCCATTACAAATTAAGCAGATAAATTTGAGTTAGGTTCTTGACCATATACTTCGTTGTTTTTGGTTGACAAAGAATTACGCTGAATTAAACAAGTTTTGGATTGAGAGAGTAAGGGACCTTCCTCATACATGGTTATGTAATGTTTTGGGGCGTTATGGATGATTCAAGGTCTTTTTAGATGGTTAATGTCTTTACATGTTGGTTCACATCGAGCTAGATAATTCTGATCCAAGGCAGGTCATTATTTTGAAATAAAAATCGGTCCCTTAAATTTTACTTGCTAATTCTATGTGTATGTATATCTAACCCGAATATGAGAGTTTCTTACTAGATATTTTCCATACTCGACCTTTTACAAAACGTAAATTATTATTAATCATTCCTCGATGAGCGTATTTATACAGAAAAGGATAGCTTTAACACAACCAGCTTAACTTATTAACTTGCTTACACAGCTAACACGCGAGAAGAAATAACTTATTATCAACTTAGTTAAACACCTTCCTTAATTACAGTAATGCATAGTAACATGCTATTATGAGTATCATAATTACCTGTATCATATCCATATGGGTACTAAATTTTATCACCAATTTCCATCCAGCAGCATATCTCTTGCAACTACGAAGAACAAAATAAGGCCTATACATACTCTGGCAACATAGGCGGATGCGGAGCTTGATCTGTGGTGAATGCATTTTGTAGTCAGGATACTAGAACAACGCTTTCCTCGACTCTCAACAGACCCACGTCCAGTTGAATTGGACTGGTGGGCTACACGACTCTTAACTTCAGTTTCTCGGTCTACAACAATGTCTTTATTTGAAGTTGCAGCTGCTCCATCAACTTTCTTCCACTTTGAAACTGCTTTTGCCTGCAAATTAAACGATGTTTCATGTAAGACATGCAAAATTGAAGTCATTCAAATTGGTTTCATTTGCCTGCAAATTAAACGATGTTTCATGTAAGACATGCAAAATTGAAGTCATTCAAATTGGTTTCACGAGAAGAACATTTTTGAGTATTTTTGTTCTGTTCTCTCACCTTGTCGGGGGATGATACTACTTGGAGTTGACTTTTCCTCTTCCATTGGACATTTTGTGAATCCTTTGCGTGGTTTACAACCTTATCGGATCTGGGTTGGCTTTGAAATCTTAAAGTTATTGTTTCCCTATCAGAGTCATCACTGAGGTATGAAATGCCATTGGTTTGAAGTTCATCTCCACGAGGCCGGACAGAGGAAAGATCTTCTTCCCCTCCATACTTGAAAATCTTTGAAGTAAGTGGGCTTCTACGCGATTCTTTAATGATCGGCGTAGTTTGAGTTGGTACCCTTGAACTATGTTCATCGAACATGCTGTGAGAAGTAGAATTACCCTGCAATGCACAATGAAATACAGACTATTTAGCTCTAATAATAATCGCTGTGAGAAGTAGAATTACCCTGCAATGCACAATGAAATACAGACTATTTAGCTCTAATAATAATCGAATGCACCGCTAGCAAACACTCTACTCTTTGGACAACATTCTACTTTTTGGACTTTTCCTTTTGGGTATACCTCAACATTTTTAAAACGTGTCTATTAGGAAGAAGTTTTTACACTCTTATAAAGAATATTTCGTTCTCACAATTTCTAACATGACATAAATCAGAAGTGGAATCACAGTGAAAAAACATGGTTTAAGAAAGCTCGAATCAATTTCTTCAGTCAAGGATTTCCACCAAGACATTTGTGTAAACTTAAAGATTTATAACATTTTTTACCTGCAGATTTAAAGTTGCTTTCCACCAAGACATTTGTGTAAACTTAAAGATTTATAACATTTTTTACCTGCAGATTTAAAGTTGCATACATGCCAGTGTCACCTTTGAGTGCACCACCCTGGTCTAGATCAACCTTTTCGAGCAATTCCTTCCAGTTGAAACCACTGGTTGAACTATTTGGTGTCCCTTCATGGAGATAAATCTCCTCAATATCGATTTCCTCATCAGTAGGTCTATCGACGGGAGTCCCGTAGCTGTTGTTAGCTTGGAAATCCATTGAAATGGGTTCCCGGTCACAAAACAAAAGGGACTCCAATTGAGAAAAATCGTAACCCGAAACCTGGAGATTCGGTGGAAACAATGATTGTCCATTTCCTGGAATCTGAACATATGAATGCTAAGATTATTAAAACAAATCATGCTGCAGTAGGCACTAGGCAACGTCCAGGGATTGATCTTTCTAAATTCTAACCTCTTTATTTTGGTTCACTGAGACTTCATTATCGAACGTCAAATTCATAAGACCATTTTGTTCAGCTTCATCACATATCGTTCACTGAGACTTCATTATCGAACGTCAAATTCATAAGACCATTTTGTTCAGCTTCATCACATATCAAAACATCATTCTCATCCAGCTTTTTCTTTAGGAGACAAATAACAAACGGCCTCTGCATGAAAAAGAGGACAGGGATTCTCATCCAGCTTTTTCTTTAGGAGACAAATAACAAACGGCCTCTGCATGAAAAAGAGGACAGGGGGACAGTTAAACTAAGCATCATCAAGAAACTAGACCAACATATACTCCAATGCAAATCGTTAGGAATCACGAATCTCCACAATACTATGATATTGTCCACTTTGAGCATAAGCTCTCATGGCTTTACTTTTGATTTTTCCAAAAGGCCTCAAACCAATTTGGTATGTATTCCTTACTTATAAACTATGATCAACCCCTTAATTAGCCGTGGTGGGACTCCTCTCCCAACAATCCTTAACAATCCTCCCCTCAAACAAAGTACACTATAGAGCCTCCCCGAGGTCTATGGAGCCTTCGAACAACCTCCTCTTAATTGAGGCTCGACTCCTTTGGAGCCCTCGAACAAAGTACACCATTTGTTCGACACTTTAGTCACTTTTGACTACACCTTCGAGGCTCACAATTCTTTGTTCGATATTTGAGAAGGCTAAGTTATTAGTCACTTTTGACTACACCTTCGAGGCTCACAATTCTTTGTTCGATATTTGAGAAGGCTAAGTTAAGGGCATGACTCTGATACCATGTTAGGAACCATAAACCTCCACAATGGTATGATAATGTCCAATTTGAGCCTAAGCTCTCATGTCTTTGCTTTGGTTCTCCCAAAAGGCCTCATACCTATGAATGTCCAATTTGAGCCTAAGCTCTCATGTCTTTGCTTTGGTTCTCCCAAAAGGCCTCATACCTATGAAATATATTCCTTACTTATAAACCAATGATCAACCCCTTAATTAGTCGACAAGGGACTCCTCTCCCAACCATCCTCAACCCAACGGTTAAATTCATATTTCCTAATCAAAGTCAAGCTTTTAGTACATATCAAGATTCAACGTTCAAAATCACATGAGAGCAGCATGAGAGGACATAAGCAGAAGCACAAAAGAAAGGAAATTAGAGTAGAGAGACGCGAAGAAAAAATGAATAGGGGACAAAGAATGAGGGAAATCACCAGCTGCGCGAACTGGGGATCGGAATGAAGAAAAAATGAATAGGGGACAAAGAATGAGGGAAATCACCAGCTGCGCGAACTGGGGATCGGAATGAAGATGATACTCGTGTATGACCCAATTGGTCCTGATTCCATTTGAAACCCGGCCACTGTAGAAGACCAGAGTCTTTTTGGTACCAATCAACTTCTTGGTTCGTGGAGCCAAGATTTTGCGGTCCTTGCCCGTGGATTTCCAGTAGCCGGTTTTTGTGGCCCTATTGGATCGACGGCTATTGGAATACTTCAAATCTTGGGCAGCAAAGAAAAACCATTCCTGCTCACTTGTATGGTCGTTTGAAAGGACTACGAAGAGATACAGAACGTTAGAGAAAGTAGAGACGGACAAATGCAAATGCGAAGGCATGAAATGAAAAAAAATGTGATCGAGAAAGAGGGATAAACATTAAACGTACAAGGAAGATCCCATGGCTCATACTTGCAGATATCAACTTGACGGATGTAATCAACGAGGGATTCCCTTCCAAGCATCTTGTTCTTCAGGTAGTGATTAATTAGCTCCTCATCCGTCGGATGGAAGCGGAATCCGACCGGCAATAAATCCCCAGAAGGAAGAACGATGCAATCGGCCATCTAGTTTGCGATAACGGAATCCGACCGGCAATAAATCCCCAGAAGGAAGAACGATGCAATCGGCCATCTAGTTTGCGATAACTACAAGATTCGTGGCGTATGTTTATGGGAAGAAGAAGAAAGGAGTAGGGGAGCGAAGAGAAATGGAGGAGGAGGAAGGAATTAAGTAGAGGGATTTCCATTGACTCTGAATCGGAGTCTGCCCGTGAGAGTGGAGGTCTTCAACTTCGTAAAGAAGCTAATGACTAGAAAGCGAATATGAAAAGGAGAGTGGCTATTGGTGACTGTCAATTCAAGCCGCACCACTCCGAAGCTTCAAGCGCCAACACTTGACTCATTATCTAAATTATTACAATTTTCGAAAGTGATAGGAAGCTTGGCTAATACCGATTTGCACTACTCTTTAACCCATCAAGCCAAATTTTGGATGTAAATCGACCAAAGTTCTAAACCACACTCATTGTTTGGAGTAACATTGACTTGAAAACAAGGCAAGGCCACAATGTTGTTGGATCAAAACCGACTCAAGCTTAGTCAAGGGCATGTGGGGCATGTGTTATGCACAAAAAGCAGAACAAGATCAAAACCGACTCAAGCTTAGTCAAGGGCATGTGGGGCATGTGTTATGCACAAAAAGCAGAACAAATGTACTCACACCACCAATGAACGAAATTACACAAATAGACCCCAAGATATTTACGTGGTTCGGAGAGAAGAAGTTTCCCTACATCTACGGGTAGCAACCAATCACTAATAAACAAAGTGTTACAAGTGAATATCTCGCTATCACACTACAAAGACTCACCAATACAATATGTCACTCAACAAATACAATGTGACACCCAAAACTCTCCCAAATTCCGACATCAAATTACCTCAAATACCACAATCAAATCTAATCCAAATAACAAAATCAAATCAAAACTTATGACAATTTACAACAGCATGCTCAATGATACTCATTGTGCTCAAAGCCTCAATATGGGATATCGAGGGCGGTCTCCTCAGCCTGATCCAAATTGACCAAATTGATACTAACTCGTTGTAATACCGACACCTCCTTCAAAAACCTAATTTGCCTCAAATGCGCCTTCCAAAAACTTTAATAACGGCTCTTCTCTTTTATTTTACATGTAGTCTTGGTTGGAAATAAACGTTTCATCCACAATATAGAAACATTAGAATTGATTAAAATTTTATTTAAAATAAAACAAAAGTAAAGATTAAGCAAACTTAATGAGAAGATTTTTTTGCCTGTTTTTTTATTTTCTTACTCCAAACTCCACATGTTTAAGCAAACTTAATGAGAAGATTTTTTTGCCTGTTTTTTTATTTTCTTACTCCAAACTCCACATGTTTGAACCACTTTGTTTCGCAACTATTTCAAGTTCGATTTTTTATTTGGTTTCAATAATGAAAGTTACATATTATGATCATTTTTACATTTTTTGTATTTAGATTTGTATGTTACCGTCATTCAAGTAGAGTTACATATTATGATCATTTTTACATTTTTTGTATTTAGATTTGTATGTTACCGTCATTCAAGTAGTGTTGATCAAACTATGTTGTGAGGTGATTCAAATGCGAGTTTAGAAATGAGTTTTTCTTACTTTTGATCTTAACCATTAAGGTAATCTATTCCAAAACTTTTCTTTAGATTGATTTCTTATTTCTTACTTTTGATCTTAACCATTAAGGTAATCTATTCCAAAACTTTTCTTTAGATTGATTTCTTATCGTTTTGGGGGCTTTTAGATAATTTAAATCTAAACATTCTTGTTCGAGTTTCATAATATTTGTTTAAGATGTTGAAGGATGGAATTTTAATACTCCACCAAAGTTTTGTAAGGATCTAAGGCTGTGAGAAGGAATGGTACATTTTACTCACTTTTAGCAAATTTTCTTGATTTTTAATTAATGATGGAGAAGGAAATTCAACAGGCCCAAGGCCCAAGGCCCAATAAGGAAAAGGTGGTTAAAATTAGGGAAGGAGTTAAAAAAAAAAAAAAAAAAAATAGATTTTTTCATAAATAATATATTAAAATATAAAACTGCTAAAAGGGCCCTGAATTTTGGATATTTGCAAAACGGTCCCTACAACAAAATATGCTATCATATTAACGTTAGACTTAACCCGCTGAATAAATATCCAAATATCCAACTGTCCAACTGTCCAAATGATCTCTAATTCCAATAGAATCTTCCAAACTCAAGATTTAATCCGGGTTAATTCTTGAATGTTTTTTTAAATTCACGAGTTCCCGTACATCATTTAATCGAAAATTTAACCATTTTTATTAAAAAATTGAAGGCTAAGAATATCTCGAACCAATACCCCAAATCGAGCCTCCAATTCCAACCCGAGGGTAGATTTTGAAAACTCAATCCAAGCCCAACGAACTTATTTCATTAACTTTCTAAGAGATCAAAGATAATTTGAATAGAAAACTCAATCAACTTTTTGCTCTATTGTCCAAAATCGATGAAGTTTATTCCAGTGTCTTCCTGAAAACAAGATATAAAAGTTTTGTGAAGAAATCGAGTTGAATCTAGGCTTAAATAGATCTATACAAAGACAAAACTAGAGGTAAATGGTAAAAACAATCGTTATTCATCAACCTCAAAGAAAGCTAACCAAAACCTACCCGAAAGAGCGCATTGTGATGGAATGGCCATCATGAGGTAGCTAAAGCCTGCTCTAGTCACCTCAAGCCGAACTAACTAGACCAATCCTTCTGATGGGCCATCAAGGTATGTGTGGCAAGGTGCCATACTCATAGATTCTCTCAGTTTTGCAAGTAGTCTCATCCCTTTCTAGCCAAGCGTGATTAATGCACGAACACTTTGAAATTTGTATCTCTGATATGTTGTTTGAGAATGTCTTAAATCAGTTAGACTACATTCAAATGGACTATTAATCTTCTTAACTTATCACTAAATAATCTTAATCTTAGTATATAATACATTAATTTGCAACCAAAAAAAAAAAAAAAAAATCTATTTATTTCCACAAGCTGAGATTGTGATGTTCATTGCTGTTTCCAAGACTTGAGATGAACATGGACTATTGACCACAAGCTCGAGACTGAGAAGGTTTATAGCACATGTTCCGCTTACCTGAAACTTTACTGCTGCTGCTGCGGCGGCGGCGGCGGCGCTCAGATAATGCTGTTTTAAGGATCCAAGTAACCTTCCAAAGCTTGATAGAGGGACATGGGCAGAGTATTGTTCGTATATATATATATGATACACATCCAACTTTAGTATCACAACTCTAAGAACACTGCAGCATTACTGGTGAAAACTCGACTCTAAGTCGGGCGTGATCGGAGAGGGAATAACCGTCAGGCCATGTCCCTTTCTCGACTTCCCGAGGAAATAGAACAGCATGCTTCACTTTGAAGCCTACAAATTCTTCGTTGCATGCATCAGTTCTCCCATTCACATTTTCCTCTGTCTGTTCGGAACATGCAAAACTCCTTAGCCTCTGCTGCACGTTTAAATTTGAGCAGATAAACACAAATTCCACATGTAAAATTAAGGAATTGGATGAAGATAAGGCTAAGGAAACGTGATGAACATACCAGAAACGGTTCATAACTGGCTACACCATTTCCATCAATGGCGGCTTGTGTCCATAGGTTCTTAGTTTCTTGAAAACTCAACCCATAAGGGAGATCGATCAAATTTACCTGTGTGAGATTTCTAATCATATTAATACCTCCGTACAAATAAATATATGCAGAACGGAATTAGGCGTGATCTAAAACACCTGGCGAAGTGCTTCACACAAAGTTGAGTATCTAATTAAATCATCATTTGTTTCATCCTTTTCAGACACTGAAACTTTTCCGAGCTGATTCTGCAACAAGCAGTGATTAAAGATTCAGATATAGCCCTGTCATAAACGCAAAAGAATCCTTTCCACAACATCAATCCTATGGCAGCACTCTCGTCCCCCTCACCCACCCAAGCATTAGAAGTCAGTGCTTGGCATTAAGAATAAGGTTTTAAGCAGACCGTGCTTGTGTAGCCAAGTGTGAGATCCCACATCGGTCGGGGAGGAGAACGAAGCATTTTTTATAAGGGTGTGAAACCTCTCCCTAGCATACACATTTTAAAAACCTTGAGGGGAAGCTCAAAAATAAAAGTCCAAAGAGGACAATATCTACTAGTAGTGGGCTTGGGCTGTTACAAAAAATATCAGAGCTAGACACCACGCGATGTGCCAGCGAGAAGGCTAAGCTCCAAAGGGGTAGACACGAGGCGGTGTGCCAGCAAAGACGTTGGGTCTCGAAGGGGGTGGATTGGGGGGGTCCCACATCGATTGGAGAAGGGAACGAGTATCAATGAGCATGTTGGGCCCCCCAGAAGGAGAACGAACAGGCGGATTGTAAGTTCCTACATCGGTTGAGGATGAGAACGAAGCATGGTAAATTTCAGAAAACTAGAGTCCTGTATTGTAGGTTGTAGATTTGAAATTTAGAAAAGTTTGTGGTCTTGTGGTTTAGGGAACTATACTGTTCAACACAAACTCAAGAACCAAAAGCTCCCAAAAGTTCTTCCTTCCCTAGCTTGGCAAGTGAAAGCTTCATCTTTGTTGTAATTAAATACATAAGAACAGATAGCACTGGACTAATAGATATAAAACAGGACACGTATAATATGAAAATGACAGATTTACCTTAATTATACCAAAAACAGCTTCTGCAAAACTTGTCTTCAACGGTTTTCTGGACATATTAGGATTACGAAGCCAAATAAAATCAACACCACAGATATTTCCTCGGTGATTGAGATGACTAACCCACTGTGTATAACAAGGAAGAAAATCAAACTTGCATTATTACAGAGTTGATATCAACTCAAAACGAAAATCGACATGTTCTAATACGAACCTTGTGAGCATCCACTTCATTGTCAGTATAATGATGAGCAGCGTCATATGATGAAACAAACCCTTGTGACCTCAGAAATTTATAAACATGCCCACGTTTGCTTCCATTCCAGTCCCTGCAAAACATATCTTCAAACCATATCAACGTTTAAAAGAACTTTGAGTGACATGAATCTTACAACTCAAACGAATGGCAGCATGCTAACCCGCAGAGTATAACAGGCATGGGTTTGAGATGGTTTTCTATCTGATATGACTCTACATATTCCAATATCTTGTAAACCTAGCAGAAGACAACAAATTTAGTTCGGGCATCACTGGATTAGAAGGATGAACAAGTGAGTATATACCTGGTTTAGTCTTGCTAAGGATAGACTGGAATCATGAGGAAATAACAGATGAGTATTAACAACAATGATTTCTGGGGGAACAATAGTTTTTAGATTTTGAGAAAAGGGCTTAACCAATTGGATATGTAACATTTGGGCAACACGATCTCCAAAGTCATTAAAAAGCAAATCTTTAACATTAAGAACCGTGAAGTAGTTCTTATGCACAGCAGTTAGCAGACCTACAAAGAGAAATTTGAAGATTACATGGAATTTTCTTAATCTATGAACATCAATTATGATTAGTGGAGTGGGTGGGTAAGAGCATAATAATACCATCTCCACGATTGTTGGTCCGTGCAAGTTTGAAGCATGTATATCCTGCATGACCAAGCTTGTCCAAATACATACGTACAAGTTCTTCATTGCCCACCCAGAATTCCTGTTTATGAATCCCAAGAGAGTGATTATATTAACAAATGAGGTAAGAGGAGTAGAGAAAAGATAAGAAAAACACTGAAATACAACCTGGAGACATATAATGGAAGATGGATCATAGAGCAAGCAGTCTAGAATTTTGCGGTTTCTATCCAACCAAAACGCTCTGAAGTCGCTTTCCCTGAGGCACTGATTCTGTACCATAATAAAAATGGGGAATTCAGATAAGGAAATCCATCTTCGATTAGATTATAACGGAAGAGACCAGAAGACAGACCTGTTGATCAAGACGTTTATAAATCGGAGCTAGAATGTTAAAAGTGGTGCAGGACACACATGGTTCTTCCCTTATCTCTGACTCTGCCATGGATTTAGAATTACAGTTCTTGGTTCTTGAAAGAATCAACTCAATCTCTGCAAAATATGAATCCAATAGTTCTACCTGAATGAATACAACAATCTTTGGTATAGGAAAGCAAACAAACAGTAGAACCCACCTGAAATTGAAAGCAAGAACTAATATCTCTACTTGAATGTTGTTCGATTTGTCACGGGAAAGCAAACGAACGCGAGAAACTCGAAATGGGTTTTAATGAGAGATGGAAAAGAGATGGAGGGTAGAGGATCGACAAACACGTTAATGATTTTATTGACGACAAGATTATGTAGCAAAAGGTTCGAGAAAATAAGGCAACGGGGTGTGGAACTTGGATATTTTGAAGAGATGAGTAAAGTAAAATCCTTTTGAGGAATAGAGGGTCACACGAACTGGAAAATTCTGTGCTTTTGACGCTTTCGTATCTCTTTAATGAACGATGTCTAGAACTTGACAACTGGGTTGCATAGTATATGGCTTGGCTACCATGTTTATGTTACTGAACCCAAACAACAAAGCAACCGCGTGTCGGTGCCCTCTAGCTAAGCATTCGACTGTCACTGGCAACTAAATCGAGAAAATAATTCAGAACCACAAGCTTAACGCGGCGAAAAGGACCCAGCCTTGCCCAATTCTGATGCACCAATGAAGCTCTCTGCCCTTTTGGTCTTAGAATTTTTGAGAGAGGGAAAACCGAAGGGTAAGATGATGAGGATGGTTTCAAAGGATAAGGGCAAGATATTAAGCAAGAGATGCTGAATATGTTGAAAACTAAATACAAAATATCATACCATTGTTGAGATGTTATTAGGGTCATGCTCTTAGCTTAGTCATGTTAATGGAATCCTCGAGTGTCGAACAAAGACGTTATGAGCATCGAAGGTGTAGTCAAAAGTGACTAAGTGTCGAATAAATAATGTATTTTATTAGAGGACTCCTACTTATTCCATTTGTAAGAAATACTACTTAGGTTCCATTTTTAACATAAGAGTGTTAAAGAGAAAGAGAGAGAGAAAGAGATCCAATCCAAGAAAACAAGATAAGAGCGGGTGTCTTACACATAGACAGAGGATAGAACAATCCTTGCAACTTTTTCTCACCCAATAGTAGAAAGGCGAAAGCTTTACAACAAGATTACCATAAACCAACAAAGCTGAGCTGACCGCATACAAATTCATAAAAAGAGAAGACGCTGCACATTGACAGAAAGAAAGAGCCACGCTTATTTACTCACATATTCTTATCCTTTTCATCATCTTTCACTGATGTGTTGAACCAAGGTATCCACACAGATGTAGTCTTCTGATATTGCCTGTAAGCTTCAGCTCTGTACTCTTGCTTCACCATTCGCTCTTCAACCAGCTTGGTTACATAAGCTAAGCACAAACTGTTCACCATTGATCCAACAAGGCTCCATTCCTCACCTAAACCCCACGCAAATATCACAAGTCCCCACCACCACAGCTGCTCTCCAAAGTAGTTTGGGTGTCGGGAGTAACGCCACAATCCCTCCTCTAAATTGGGCACCATTGATTTTCCACTCATTTTTAGCTCGTTGTTCCTTGTCACGAATTCGTGGAGTTGGGTGTCAGCAAAGTAGGCGATCACAATTCCAGACACACACACAAAGATTGCTACCAAATCCCACAAATTCAATGCCTCGTCAACTGAGTGGACGACGTATAGAGGAAGGCATACGCCTACCAGGAATATCTGTATTAAAGTTGAAGGGAAACAAACACAAATGAACCAAATGGCTTAGGCATAGACAAGGAGAGTATCGTGGATTAGATCAGTTCTTACCTGCTGTGAAAAATAGACGGCGAAGAAAGAAACCCACCACCAGTTCTTGCCGTACTGTTGGCGCATATCAGTGAACCTCCAGTCCTCTCTGACTCCCAGCTGCCATCCCTCCCGCCTCAAGTAGTTGTGGGTAAGCCTTATGCTCCATATCCAAGTCAAAGCAATTGCGATCCATGACCTCAATTCATTATAGTGAGCTAAAGGGTGAGAAGCAAAATAGTGAACGAGCATCACGGGTATCAAAGTCCAGTACAGGTCAATCATCTGCACCAATCAAAACATGAAATAGAAATCAGCCGTTTGGTGCTGAGGAAATCGAGAAGAGAAGAATTTTGGGGGAAGGAGGCTCACCCAGTGGCTGGATTGTACATGGCTGAGGAGCCAGAAGACGAAGTTGACGTTGAGGAAGAAGAGTGCATTCACCAATAGAAGAGGATGGTGATAGCACCACTTCCAGAGACCAGTACAAGTATCATTACCACAGTTGCTGAGGAAACAGAGGTAAAAGAAAATGGAGGGAAGCGGAACCAGTAAGGCTACAACAGCATTTTTCAGATTACCGCCATTTCTGCCGCTACCCATCGCCATGGCCTTTCCAACTTTCCTGTCAGAATCTTGCTCGATGATCGTCCGCGCCACAGCCCCGCTTATGCCAACGCCTCCCACTGCTGATTGCCGTCTCCCCTGTCCATTTTTATAGGGCTGCTGCTGCTGCTACTGAGACGAGACTTTTGGGCGTCTCTTTTGACTTTGTAACCAGCCTATGTGATTTTCTTACCAACTAAAGTGCTCAAATTTCGAACCACAAGGAGTTGGCAAGATATCAAAACTGGAATTTTTCATTGGTCCCTAATTCGAACAATAACAATGAAAAAAGCCTCCTGGCAGTGGGGTTTAGTGAAGAGTAGGGGTCCATTGGATAAGTAAAATAACAATTAAGATAATTAATTATTTGAGGACCACGAAAAGGAAGTATAATAATTATGGTAACTAATTATTAGAGAACCAGAAGCAGCAGGCTTGGTATTGGCATATGATTAAAGAGACTGCAAGTAGCTTTGCATGCAATTAGTAATTGGTAATTGGGAAATGGGGTGTGAGCGAAATGATGCGAGGTTGAGGGCAATGCTAGTGCGCCTAATCATAATGATGGGCGGCCCCCCGCGCAGTCCGGCAAATCCAACTAGCGCAGCTGCTCTTCAATTATCTGGCGAGCAGCTCCGTCTCATAATTGGGATGCTGTCAGGCCTCACAGCCGCATGCACCATCCACAATGCACTCATGCTTTATTCTTTTACAAAACAAAAGAAAGAGCTATGATGCTCATTCTTACACGACCAATAGAGTTACCAGTACATGCTATAAATAACCAAGCGGGGAAATGTTTTAAGTCCTCTGTATACAGCACAAACTTTAAGAAAAATGACTAATCCAATTTTGGGATTGATCTTCTTTGCATGCATTGGGAATTCAAAACTTCCTACTTACAAGTACAACTATCAGTATAGAGAAATCTTGGTGGGCAACCAATGACAAATATCAGTAAACAAAACTCAAAGCAATTGCTACAACACAAGGCAAGTTATCACATTAAGTCATTCTCTCAAAGCATTTTGAAGAGAACTAGCAATTCGAGAAGAATTGACAACTTAATGGTCATGCTCGTCGAACTGGTTGCCTTCATCGACACCTATATCTCTTTCATCCCCATAGTTTACCCAAGGAAGCATTGATTCAAACAGGACAGCCAATGCACTCCTATTTGCAATTTCCCGGGTGGGATGCCGTTGATTAGGAGGATTTGCATGTTGAATTATGTTCTGCACGTCTCTCATCCTTGGATCTACCACAAAATCTTGCAAGGCTTCAGGAGGGGCAGATGATACTGAATCAGAGAAATCTGAGACCAACAGATGAGCATACCTGGCAATAAAAGAAACATATCACTTTTACCTCACAAAAATTGCACTGATAATTAGTAAATTCCACAACTTCAAAGCGCATGCGTTGAGCGGTACTCAGATGAAAAACAAAATGCCTGACACACAGAGACCATTTTTAATCACCAAAAAGAGGGAAGGAGAGAAGGAGAAGATACTCACTCATTTTTCTCGCACGAGAATGCTTCTTTTCTCACACAAGCCCAGTCTTTAGCATCATTTCGATCAGTTTCCAAGACTTCAATTACCAATTGTGCAGTCTCTTTGAGTAACTTCTGCAGATCTGGGATTCTCCATATAAGGTAATTCCTCTCAACGTACAAATTAATGAGGTGGTCCAAGGATGGAATTCCTGTCTGATCAGACGAGAAGAAGGAATTCTTGAGTATATGCACCCAAAACTGTTCCTTCAGCGGGACCTTTTCCACTAATCTCTTTAAGACCAAAGGGTGAAGCATTAACGCCTGCTTCAAAAGATCTGTTGAATTAGCCCTTGTAGCATCAAGATTATCATTCTTTGAGTCTTCTTCCCGCTCAAGATAATATCGACATACCGAAAGGGAAAATGAGAAATTTGGAAACAACCACAAAGAAGTATCATTTTTGTAGCTCTCAGCAAACCTTTCCAGCCAACTGTATTCCTCCGCCCTCAAAGATAAGTAATCAATGAAGAAAAGAGCCCCCATTGGGTCATCGGAATCCAGTGAAAGTAATAGTTTGCAAACTTCCAATGCAGATCGATGACAACCACGTCTATCCAAGTTTTTTACGTGAGTGAAAAGTGATGTAAACATTGGCTTGTTCGTTTCATGGCTGATCTTCAACTGGCAATTACCCTGTAACGCAGTGAACATAGGATGCCATGCACATTCCAAGGCATATAAACTCTTTGCAACTGCATCAGAGGACATTTCATGGTCACCCGCAAATTTAAAATACTCTGCCATCGTTATAAGTGAATCCAAGTGATATGGGTGGTGCAACAGAATACTAGCAATGCCATTGAGATCATGAATAGATTTGGCAGCTTCAAATGCTTTCTGAGCTTCAACATAGGATGGCGGATGTACATATCTGGAATTCATTGCATTACAATCCAAATCCCAGAAATAAACATTATGTTTATATTAAACCATTTTTGTGACAGCAGTGACACTAATTTATAGAAAACATAATTAAAAGAAAGTTCAAAAAGGTGAAAAAACAAGGGTCAACATTCGCAAGAATTTGAAATAGTTTGGAAAAATGAAGACAAAAAGAAAATATGATTGACAATATTGAACACGAGGGAATATAATTGACTGAAATGTACAAGACTCTGTGGGTGTGTGGGGTAGGGGAACAATTATCTACAAATGGAAATATTTTAAATGAAGATTCATCTCTAGGTATTTTCTTCATGCCCCAGATTAAAAGAGTACTAGATTCATAAAACTGAAGTTCAGCTCATACAAGGCTATATTGAATCGCGGGAAAGGCAAGCTTTCAACATTTACTTAGTTCAAATATTCAGGTATTATATGTCACAGCCGCAAACCACTCAACATCCCCCAGCAGGTTGGACACACATAAACTGCCATCCCATTCTAGTTGAAGGCTACTTGAATTCAGTATGTGTATTTTAGGGAGCAGAAGGTATAAGAGAAGATAAAATGAAAACGGAATTTACCTGAAGTAGTGATATCCATTCTTTGTCTCCAAAAATTCCATGGAAAGAGAACCATCCCAACGAGGCCAATGGTCTGATGGACTAACAAGATAGGTCTTCCTAGAAAGATGGTTGACACGTCTTCCCCCACGTATTTGTCTAGAACTACTGGCCTGATTATTTTTTTCAAATGATTTTACCACCTTTGAACCAAATATTCTTCGCAGTTCATTCCCAGCATTTAAATATTTAGGATCCACTTCTAACAA